CTCCCCCCAGCCCCCTGCCGCTGGCCAAAGCAGACGCCGAGGTGAGTGGCCGGGGCAGGCGGGGGCGGCCGGCTCTGCCCGGGGCCGGAGCACCCTCCGAGGGGCACCCCGGAGCTCCCCTTCGCTCCCCCGGGGCCTGGTGGGTCCCTGGGTGCCGGGGTCGTGGGCTGTGGAGTGCCAGGGGGAGGCTGGACCAAGACCTGGCCTGTAAATCTCATGCCTGGCCTTGGTAAACTGCTGTCCGCCCTCAGCGTGCGCTCCAGCACGTCGTCAGAGTCGTTTCTTGTGTCTTCCTCTTCTGTCCAAGATGGTGCTCCGAGGTGCTGTGGCAGGGTTCATTGCCCACCCCCGTCTCAGGCTGGGTGACCAGCGAGGCCTCCCGTCTCTGCGGGTGTCATCCCTGACCCTGAGCCTCCCCTGCTGCTCCCTGCGCAGGGTTTACTGCCCGGCCTTACCACAGGCTGACCGAGGGACTGTAGACAGACATTGCTCTGTGTATCTTCTTATGAAACAAAGAATTATAAAAGTAGCCTAGGGAGAGCTCAGCATGTAGATGAAAGCCAGGAGCAGGTTCTCCACAGAGTGGAAGGGAAGGAAACGTGGCCTTCGCATCTTACAGCCAGTGCAGCTGAAAATGAGAGGGTAGATGCGTAAAGCACACTGGAAAAGTTTAGGTGGCCAAACTCTCATCTGTTCGGCGAGCTTGCATACTGCTTACCCTATGAAGTTGTCCCTGATTTAGCCTAGCGGCATCTTGAATTAAAGGAATAGGTAATTCACATCTGAGCAATAAAATTCTCAATTAAAATGAAAGGGGTGAACAGTAGCGTAAACCTAGTGCCCAAAGTCCAGCCTGAGAGCTAACAGAGTTTATTTTTAGCAGTGGGAACTGCTGTGCTGACGAAAGCACTCAGTCCCTATCAAAAGAGTGAGTTGGCAATGCACATCTTGCTGTTGGGAGAGGTGGAGCTGCAGGGAGGGTGCCGGCTGCACGAGCCACGGATGTGCAGAAGAGTCCTTTTACATCCTGTAAGGCTTGGGGAGCAGCAGGTTTTAAATCGATAGTACTAAATGCTTACAGGTTTTTTTTTAAACTTTCTGTAAATATGATTCTTGCTCCAGTAATCATGACCCGACTGAGACCCGACATGGCAACTGCTGCTCTGAAATACTTTCTGATCTCTTCTGTTGCAGTCAGTGCTGAAGAAGAAACTGATGGAGCTGCATAATCAGAGTGAAAGAGCTGCTCAAGCAATGAGCACTGTGAAAACAAACCAAAGCCAAGCTGCTGTAAGTGGGTAACTGTGCAAAATGCTGTCAGGTTGCTTGGCATACACTGGCCACTGCGTGTTGTTGATGCTTGTACTCTTGTCACAATGGCTGTAGCATTGAGATTGCATCGGCAGAAGAAAATGGTATTGGGGAGGAACAGAAAATAGGCATTTTGGCAGAGCCAAGTAGCTCCGTGGGACATGGGAGTAACCCAACTACCCTGCAAGGACTTTGTACCCACATGTGCTGGCACACCTGACCCGAAACGGGGCTCAAACCCGTCCTTTCCTGTTGCACCAGAAAGTGCCTATCGGTGCAGCCCAAGCTAAAGCTGTAACGGCTGCACCTGCAGAAAGTTGGGATGTCTCTTCCCGTGAATTACCACAACCAATCCTTGCTCTTAGCTGATGACCGGGGCTGCTGTTTGTGCTGACGGCTGGATCGCGTACATCTCGTACCATCCTTTCTGAACCAAGTGGTGGGGACCAAGAAACTGAAAAGCAGTGGGGTAGCACTTCTGTGCTCCTGTGGAACATCTCTCAGAGGATTGTGAATAACTTTGTATTAACCAGAGATGCTACATCTCGGAGGCAGAAACAGCTACAGCCATGCAAGTGGCTGTGTGGTGTCTGAGCTCGCGGTGTCACAGCCCCATCCCAGTCTGGGTAACCGCTAGATGGCATGGCTGGCCTGGCCTCTGCCCGCCGGCCCCTGCAACAGAGCCCTGGAGACCAACAGTAAATGAGTTTTCTTTCCAAGCTACATAGAAATACAAAGCTTTTCTATTGCCTGTTTCAAGTAATTGAAGCCTACGTGCTCCTCAAAGGCTTTCTTGTAGTAGTAGTAAGCTGTACTTTGTCCACAAACTGTTCTTTTGAATCAGTTTCTGTCTGTTCTTCTCTGCTCCAGGAGACAGCTTCCAGAAAGAAAGATTTGATCAGAAGTGAGTTTTTGGAAATTAAAGCTTTAATTGAAGAAAAAGAAAATCAAACCATAAAGCTAATTACAGATGAAGAAAAAAGAGTTTGCAATAAGTTTGATTATATTTATGGTATTCTGAGAAGTAAGAAGAAGGAAATTCAGTCTCTCAGAGACCAGATTGAGATGGCACTGACTGAAAGCGATGACATTCTCTTTTTGAAGGTAGTATGTCCTTGAAATGAAAATCCAATTCTTTGTGCTTCTAGAATGCAGAATCGCAAAACCCTGCTGTAGTAGTACTGCTCTCCAGACACTTTCAGTCAAGTGATAATGCAGTTGTGTGCAAGAACCTGCTAAAAAAGGATGTACTGATAAGTATACAAATATCAATGAAAGAGTGCTGAAGTGACGTGGTGTCTTGTAACTCCCCCCAGTTCAGCCTCTGCCGCAAGCAGAGGGGCCAATGAGTGAGAGAACTCATCTCCGTGAGGTGTTGCAGCTCAGTGCTGCGATGCCATCTAGCAGATCTTTCTTCAGGTATCAGCTGAGAATTCATGCATGTGGGTTGCTACTGAAATTTTGCCATGGGTCGTGTCTGATTGTACCCTTTGCTCCTTTGAAGTTGAGAGGAACGCACAAAACCCCATTTAAAGTAAGTTGGTTGTATTTTTCTGTCTGCTATGAGAGCTTCCATTTGTCATTTCAGAGAGCAGCAGCACTGCAACAAACATCAACAAAAGATGCTTTTGTCCCTGTAATTGAAATGGACCAAAACTTGATACATTCCACTTATCAGTCTGCCATTAACCTTAAAGACGCTGTGAAACTTTCAGTGACTTCTTGTAGGGAGAAGAAAGCGGAAGGTACTGTATCAACTGGGAGAATTGCCATTGTCTGCCTTGGCTTTGAGCTTAGATGAGGGATCTTCCCCCTACAATCCAAATATCATTTAAAAAAAAATAGTGCATCAACTACAGTTGGTTAATACAACTTGTGTCTTCAAACTTCTGCAGTTTCCACACAAAAATGCTACAGTCTGGACTAAACTAGGAGAAAAAACATGCCAGTGTCTCTTCACTTTTATCTATACTTGGATAAGCTGATGAGTGTCATGATACTATGACCTTCTGGCACAGCTCAGCCTTTATTCGTTACAGTAATTTATGTTTTTATTATGTAGCAGGGCTGGATGCAGTTAGGATGTGGATTTGAGGGGAGGCATAAAATGCTTTAGATTGAGAGGACTATGGTTACCCAACTGTAAAGGTGCTGATTGTGTAAATGTTGTAGAACAAAGCCCTACTTACCACGTTAAGCAAAAGTATCTTTTGGACTGGGACATGGGTATCTTCTACGCAGCTTCCATCTCTGCCAAGAATCGCTTAAGTTCTATTCACATAACTGAAAAATAAGATTGAAAAATGTTCTCACTAATGCACATTACTGTTCCTGGCAATACAAACCATAATGTAAAATATCGCCATTGCAGCAAAACTAACACCTGGGAAAACTAGGCCGCTTCCAGCAGCTTCTCCAAACAAAACCTTTGCTGGAAAAAAGCCCCCAGGACCACGTAAGTACTAAAGAACATCATCCTCTCCTAACTATGGTTTCACCATTAAAGAATTTAAGCAGTTACCCAAGAGCTGTTTGCTCTAGCGGCAATGCAGTGATTATCTGTAGTGAGTACTTTGGCATGGGAAAAGGAGGGTGTGTTGGGCTATTTGGTGATGGATGCCTGGTGAGCAGTACAGCAGCAAACCGCCCAGATATGGTGCGTTAGCCTCAGCACGCGCCTGTAGTGGTGGCAGAGCAGGCTGTAAAGCAAAGGAGAGCCTCCCACCCTCAGCTCCTGCAGGTTTGTTTTCACCTGTACTAAACATCTGTTTGTTTGATGGGTTTGTATGTACTGAGTCCTGCTTATGAGCTGTTCACGTTCTGCTTTTTTTTTCCCTTCCCCTCCCTCACAAGACCATACCCACAGAGAGAAAATCCTTCACCAGCCTCAAGACACTCCGCATGTGGACACAGATACCAGTAAGTGGTAATTAATAGCGGCCTTACTCAAAAATTTTGCTGGCTGCATCATGCCTACAGTCTAAGACTGGGGTGATGGAGACAGTTGTTGTGGCAGGTGATACTGGGGCCTTTCAGTATTGTTTTACGTAGATACTGATATTAATGTGCCACTCTAGCCTGTTTGGAAGATCTTCCGTATTGTCTTTTTGAAATAAATCCAAGTGTTAAGAAACCATTTCTGTTACTTCCACTGAGCTCTTGACACATGGTCCTTCCCATTCGCAAGGCCGAGGTGTGGAGCACTCAGCGGGGTCGGTTGGCAATTCTGGAGTTGAAAGGACTCGTAGCTTCTGTTGCTGCACGAGAAGTTCTGTTGTAAAAAGAAAAGGAATAGTCTATAGGCCTCATGGGAACAGGCTTATTACCACTTGCCATAATACGCTGCATCCTGGAGTAGAGATTAAGCTCCTTCCAGGCCTATGACCCTGTGACATAGGAAGCAAACAGTACGTTGTGCTTCATGTGTAGCTTTCCAGTATGGGTGTATTTGCACATGGCTTCAACTGTCAGCTTTATCTACTGCTGCAGCTTCGGGAGAGCCATGATGATGGCTTTACAGGTGGCATAGTCTATCAGTGGCTTTTCAGTCTCAGTAGAACTCACAGTTCCTTTTTTTTTTCCCCCAGAGGAGAAAAAGAAACCTGTTAAAGTCGGTAAGTCCAACCTTTCAGCATACTCATCCTAACTTTCATTGACTGCTCTTAAGATGGTAAGTAGATGGTCGCCCTTGTTGACGTCTTCTGTTGTTCAGTTGTTGCTCTGAGAAGGCTTTTACTAGTCACTGTGAGAGCCATCAAGCGCTGAAAGAGGTTGCTCAGAGACAACAGGGGATTTTCAAAACTTGACAAGACTGAGCAATCTGAGCTAATTAAGTTAACCCTGCTTGGAGCAGGAGCCTAAAACAGATAACCTCTAGAGGCCCCCTCCAACCTGAGGGTGTCTGTGACTCTGTGTTAAGCATGCAGAGTTTCTTCCCAACTGGCCAAACTCTTTTCTTCTGTCGACACAGCACCAACCACGGGAACAGTAACTGCTGCAGCTGCCGTTTCAAGTAAAGAACTTATTGACAGCTTTCTGAAGAAATCCAGAGAGGAGCTTTTGCAGTGTAAGACACCCATTACACTACTTAAAGATGAACTTCCTGCACTTATTGCACTGGTGTTATGTGCCCTCTGTAGTTATCTGACAAAGCTACCTTTGAGGGGGTTTAGCTAGCTTAGTAGGCTATCAAATAATTGTTACAAATGAAGGAAATTTTTGGAGGAAAAGGGGACAGGAGGTCTCCAAGTGGTTCTTTTGCCAGATGAATTTGATTAATCTTTGGTATTCTTGTATCTTTACAAAGGTAAATGAAGTTTGCTAGGTAATGGCTTTGGTTTCCCCCCGAATGGCTTCCTTAGGGTAGCCTAGAAATGTGATGTAACACACTGAATTTTTCTTTGAAATTAAAAGCGAGCTTTTAAGTGAGCCTATGGTGGCCTGCTTAAGATGCTATACCAGATGGTATACAATATGGTATACCTTTTGCTGCCAGATCCCCTTCTTCTGCCAGCATATATTTGGGTGGTGAAGGAATCCCATGGGGATGAACGAAGGAAAGCAACTTGCCCTCCATTTGCCTGCTGTGTAACGCAGAGCTGCAGTTGAACCCAGCAGCTCTGACTGTGGCCCCGAGAACGGCCTGCACTGCGGAGGAGGGTAGAGCAGGGAGATAAAAACGCGTAGGAACAAGTGCCTAGGCAGGACAGTATAAATAAAAGTGCTTTGCTCTTCAGTACCTTCAAACAATTCATGTCGTTGCAGATGCTGCTAACATCACGCTGGATTACAACACAGCTCACAACAAAGTGATGCTGTCTGAGAGATACACCAGGATGTCCGTCTCGGACGTGCCCCTGAATTATAACTACCACCCTCAGCGCTTCACCGATTGTTTCCAAGTGCTGGGGTTCCAGTGCTTCAAGAGAGGCATCCACTACTGGGAAGTGGAAATGCAGCAGAACAACTTCTGTGGCATTGGCATCTGCTACGGCAGCATGGAGCGGCAGGGGCCAGAGAGCCGCCTGGGGAGGAACAGCAGTTCTTGGTGTATTGAGTGGTTTAATTCCAAAATATCATCCTGGCACAATGATGTTGAGAAGTGCTTACCCAATGTGAAGGCTACTAAGATTGGTGTGCTGCTCCACTGCGAGGGAGGGTTTGTGATTTTCATGGCTGTTGGGGAGAAGCATAACTTGATCTATAAATTCAAAGCCCAGTTTGCTGAAGCCTTGTACCCTGCCTTCTGGTTATTTTCCAGTGGCACTGTTCTCTCTCTCTGCCAAGTGAAACAATAAGGTCTCATCTCTTAATCTAGTTTGCCCAGGTACTTATGTGTAAATAATCAGTCCTGCAGCAAATCATCTTTGTATGTCTTAGTCTAAGAAGTCTCAAAGATTGTTTGCCTGAGACAAAAAATACTAGCTCTTTTAAGCAGTTTGGGATATCTGCTGATTCTTTGGTCTGAATTGCTAAAGCTTTTAGATAGTGATTTAGTAAAACGTTGATGATTGATAGTAAAAACTGCGATGAAAGGTTTTGCAAAAAGGACCTTGATGGTCCTTCTAAAAGCAAAGTTATGATACAACCCGTTGTTAAATGTCTTCAGTAGCTGCTGTGGTTTGCTCTAAAGAAGGATCCCCAGAATTAATTTTCAGATCTAAATGTGTTTCGCAGGTAATAATAACCGCTTTGAGAAAGAAACAGGAAGAATTCCTTGACAAATTCAGGTTCCAGGCTTTGAGGTAGGTCTCACCGTTGCCTTTTTCTCTGTATGCAGACTGTTGTCCATAGTCAGGATTTGCAGTACGTGTGTTCTCAGTGTATGACTCTAGGAGATAGTACACAATCTGTTAAATCAGTAAGTTCAGGTTTTATGATACTCAGTTAGAAAAGCCAATACAACAAAACTCATCAGAATGGAAATGCAGAGACTTTTAGAGTTGACGGATAAGAAATGGTGTCAGAATCACCAGGAAATAAATGACATCAACTTGGAGACTAGGAGTATGCCAGAGAGTCTTCAGGAAGGCATCCTGCAGAGCAGTAGTGTGTGCCCTGTAATAATATAGTTTATGGGATGAAGCATTCCATCTCATATTCTGACCCAGAACGTGCTTCACATCTCAACACTGAAGGCTCTTCAATGTTGGGTTTTTTTTGTGTGCATGTGTTGAGGAATTCAGGGAGTGCATTTTTGGCCTGCATAGGGAGCATAAATGTGCTGTTCACTTAAAGCGGGGCCGCCTGTCATAAAGCTTTTCCTCTTTGTGAGGTGGGATATTCTCTGCTGGTGTATCTTCAGTTGTTCAGGTGCTAAAAACTGGATTTCCTATGTGTTATTGGGACTCTGATTTGAGGAGTCTCAAGATAGAGTGCACAGTACCTGGAAAATGCTATTTCCTCTCTGCATGAAGCCTGCAGGTGGACAGGTGAGTCTTTTGAAACATACAGGGAATTAGCACAAAGGAGAATATATTTCCATTCCCACTGGAAAGGATTTTTAATTCTCCTGGTATTTATTGCTTTGGGCTGTGGTATGTCTTCAGAAGTCCTCACCATGTACAGAGGAATCTCTTCTTCTGCATTTTTTACGTTCAACTTTAAAACAATCCGTAGGCAATCAAGGTATTTGGATCTCATAGTTATTGGGCCTGTATCTTGTTGCTGCCTCTGGACATCCTAGCTCTTATTTCTTGTAGTAGCCCATGAAGAACAGGGAAGCTCACAAGAGAGACCTCCTGGACTTGGATTTGTAAAACTCCCCCTTATGGGACTCAGTGAAATAAAACACAAAGCTGCTGCTGGCAGTCTGGAAGGGAATTGTTAGAAGGCTCAGAAGAACCTCTGTGACTGCATTTCACATTAGCCAAAGTGCTTTAGAGAGAGAGTTGCAGGAGGTCAGACGGTGTCTCTATTTTTACTTGGTTTGTAAACTCTTAGTACTTTGTCAAGGATAGCGTAAGTCTGGTAAGACACTTCCATTTCGTTGGTCTCAGTAGAGTGTGGAATCGATGGTGGACCTAAAAGTGCCATGGCTGTCTCTGGAATAGTTGTACTGTCTCAAGGGTCTCAGCTTTCCAAAGCACGGTCAGCACTAAAACTGCTACACTAAGTAGAACCCTTCAAAAGGTGCGGAAGGAGGATGTGTCCTGCTAGGAGCCAACAATGACTGCAGATTTGGGTTTTTCTTTCTGCATTTCCAGTTTTTCAGCAGTGTGGGGCAAGAGCAGTTTCCTCTGAGAAATCCTCTCCCTTTAGCTGCTTGTCTGGGCCACGGGGCTGCAGACCCGCTCAGCGGGTGCTGAAGGAGTACTCTGGCCCCTTGGGCATAGGGGAAAACGTGCTCCAGTGGTTTGTGCAGTGGAGAAATTCCACGTTTTCTGTTGCTTGCTTCTTGACTTTAAAGGGGTGTTAATATTAACCTCTAAGTCTATGAGCTGCTTTAGTCATAGTCTGGAGTAACACTCGAGCAAAGTAAAGAAGAGCTTTTATTCCTCCATGTTGGACACTGTTGGATTCTTTAAATGTGACATTGGTGTATGACCAACAGTGTATAACACTTGAGGTGTTCTGGATTATCACAGGCAGTGAAACAAGCCTGCCGCTGTATTCCTGATTCTCTTTTTTGTTTTTCTTTTGTGCTACGACTGACTAGAAATGATAGAATGAGTTTCTGTTACTTTACAATGAAATGAGAAATGTGTAACTGAATTGCTGCACTTTGAAAACTGTTATTTTGGTTAGCTTCAGCTATCTTGGATATATCAAAACATTAGGGTGATACAACATTAGAAAACAATATTAGTTACATTATGATAAATAATGCTTCAAGAGCCTCTTCAACACAACTGAAGTGTTTTTACTAGGTCAGTAACTATCAAAGCTGTACTGTTTTTAAACAAAACGTAGACATAAGCATGTATTTTAATTATGCTTCTCTTTTTAATACTATAAAGAACCCAAGTTACCCAGTCTAGAAAAAGAACTAATTCTGGTGTTAATAAAGCCATGAGGATGTGGAATGATATGCGTATTATTGTACAACTGAGAGTAAATCGAGAAACACCCACTGAAAATACACTGATCTGTTTAAATTTAATCTTTTCTTCAATTAAACACACCAGTAAAATACTGTAGTTAGAAAAATAAATGCTTATGTAACTATAAAGCTGTTGATCGATCAGCCGTGTACTTCAGTATGTATACTACATGTTATCTCATATAGATGTATCAGCTAGACGTCCTTGTCAGGGCAGCAGACATAGGTTTAATGCCGTCTCTTTTATCACTATGCCTGTAACTGTTTTAGAAGTTAACTATTGTTGATCTTTTCAGCTGTAAAGTGAATTAAACATGATATTATAAATTCAGTAAATACTGATGGTAAACCCTAACTCTGAATGTTTTGTTCTGTGCACAAAGTTGAAGCAAGCAGTAGGGAAGGCAGAAATAAAGATGCTATAGTGTACAAGTAACAGGTCTTTTACTGCCTAACTCCCTGAGTTATGTGAGAATTGGGGAAGAAAGGAGACCTGCATAGGCTGTGCTGTCCTCTGGACTGTCAAACACCCTCCTAAACTATCTCCTGCACCTGAGCTATGCAGTCTTTACTAGTAATGCTGCATCCTAGCCGAGGATGAGGGGAACATCCTATCCAGTAAACCAAACTGGAGACCTTTTTGGGTAAGCAAAAACATGCTCATCAGGTGGAGGAAGATGAACGACTAAGGACTCAGTATGTGCAATGGGATTGCTTAAAAAAGCCTTAGGTAATGTCCAGCATCTGCCAGCTTAAGTTATATCTGGAAGCAACAATGGGTGATGATTCCTAATAGTACTCAGTGAAATCAGACTAAAGGGCTGGTGGTTTGCAAGCTGCTGCCTCCCCATGTGGCCAGTGGAAAGCAGCTCAACAGTGAGCTGCTCTAGTGGCTCATCAGACTTTCAAAAATTAGCCAAAACAAAAGCACCCACAAAACAAGTCAAAAATTGACTTTTCCACGTAAAGTTCTGCAAGTGAGTTAGGTTGATGAAGGTTTGGGGGAATAAACTCTCTGAAGAGTTGCCAGAGAGTCAGACTACAGTACTGCTTGATCAGCGTGGCAGGGAGTACAAAATCTAGGGGAAAAAAAAAAATCATCATCTTCACTAACTGCTTGTCCCATGATGTCCCTGAGATTAAGAGGTCAATTAGGTCTGCTGGAGTTTGGCCTCAGTTTCCAAAGAAAGACAAATAGATATTTTGAGCCTGCATAAACTTGACTGTGACTACAGCCTGGGTCTTGAGCTGGTTCTGAAACCCCAGAGAAGTCAGCATGCTTATGAATCATACAAGGTCTGTTTTCTTACTTGCTAATGTAATTTCCTCTTAATTTAGCTTTGTGATCACTTTTTCACAGCAAAAGGAACAACAGACTTGGACTCCAAATCATATTTTCTGGGAACATATGTGAAAATGTTTATCAGGTTATTTCCTAATACTTGTTTCTCTTCCTAAAATAAAATTGTATTTGGCTAGTGTTTAACAGACTGTGTTTCTATAGCCAGTTCTCTGACTCCCTCCCACCTCTCGCCCCCTTCCCAATTCCCTCCCAATTTAGTGGCTGCTACTTCTCAAATAATCAATACGTCAGTTAAAAACATGTCACGGTGTGGTCATTGTATGACTCCTATTCAGAGCCCATGTCGTTTAGACTTTCATTGGCAGCTATTTTGCCCCATTAAAAAGTTCAAGACAGCAATTTGTGAATCTTGCTCAGCCAAGTAGAACTGTGAAAAAAAGGAGTTATTTCAAAAGTCAATTAATTGTGGTCTGTCAGAGTGCTCCTCATTCAGTTTTTTTCCAGGCCTTGCCATGGGCCCACATCTGTCAGCCCCGTGTTTCCCAGGCTGCTATTAGATGCTGTTACATTGAAAATAATAGGTTTATTCACACCATTTATTGGACTTTGTGTGGTAGACACATTTGTATATCATGTTATGGTGTAACACTGCCATTTACATAAAATATAGGCAATTATGCGAGTCCAGCCAAAGTACTAAGGGAGGGTGGGAGGAGCCACAATTAAAATAATAAAAGCTAATTGAAAAGGGGCAGATAATTTATGTGAAAATACCATCATGAGTAATTCTTGATCCTCAGTTAGTTCAACAGAACTTTAAGGAGGCGAGTTAGTTGTATTTTGTCTCTGTATTAAAGTTCTTAATGTTTTTCAATGTAAGAATTTGTACTTTTTATAGCACCTATGTTCCATTTTAAAAATCAAGTAGTTCTTGGTGGAAGAAGGAAGTTTTG